GTTACAGTTAGACTCTTTTTATTGTCATTCCAATCTTAGCCATTTTGCCCTCTTCCATGAAGCTTTGACCAGTTTGTCCAACCCACACTGCTTTTTCTCTTCTCTGAAATTCTATCACTTTTATATTCTATTCTCTGCAATTTAGCACTAATAGAAGGATGATTTAGTAACTGAAGTAAATTTTAATGTGTCTTCAACACAGTGTATTTCAGAAACATGAACAGTAAAATTGTCACCTTTGTTGAAGTATTGTACCATATATAGTTAGAAGGATAAGTAGTACTGTGTAGATCATAGGTAATATTTCTGAGAAATAAAAATTATTTAAGTTGCTGATTCTTCCATATACATACTATAATTAAAGATTTATGTGTCTAACTCTTTTCTTTCCAACCATATTTTAAGGCCTGGATCTTTGAAGGCTGAGTTTATATGTTAAACTTCTTTTATATTCCCAGCAGTACCTGACAAATTCCTGAACTTAAACTAGGTGGTTGTTAATGAAGTGTCTGCCCAGTTAATATCGTTGGAGAGAACTAGTAGTCCTAAACATGTAGATATGGAGACAAAAGGATAAAGTTAAATTCTTACTTAAATTACCTTGTATCCTTTGAAAAGTGATCACCAGTGCTCTTATACCACCCTAACTCTCTGGATGTCCATCAGTACCAAACTCAACAAATCTAAAATTTTATTCAGTAACTCTCCTACTTCAATTACTTGCCTTTCCCCCTCTTTCTTTATTTCTGTTAATGGGCATTCTTCCAGTTACCTTGATTTGTAATTGTATGATCATTCTAGACTCATCTTCCCTCTTCTGCCTCCATAATCAAACCAGACCAGTTACCAGGTCTTATGAGTCCTACCTTCATAGTATCTCTCAAATCTGGACCCACACAGATGTTGCTGCATTTCAGGCTCTAATCAGTTGTTGCTGGATGATTGTAATAAACTCCTAACTGTATTCCAACTTCTAATCTCTTCCCTTTCCATTCCATCTTCTATACCAGTGGAATCAAACAAAGTGGTCCCTGCAAGCCACATATTGACTTAGAAAAACCACAAATTAACATTATTTAATGTTGCATTATATATTTTTTATTTTGTTACATTTCCCAACTACACTTTAACCTGGTTCTTGCACACCCTCTGCAGTTTGATACTTTTACTCTATACAACTAGCAACTTCTCTAGGAATAGGTTTGATCTCAGTAACCTTCACTGGTTCCCTCTTGTATTTTATTCTTGAGGCAAATTCTTTAGTCTGGCATCTTAAAGCCCCACCACAATCTGGTACCAACCATTGTTTTCTCAACTATATTCCCCTATCCCCTTTTTTTTTTTCCCAGTGTAAAGCAATTTTATTTACAGGAATACAGAATGTTTTTGCTATGAGCATTTTGAACATATGGCACGTCTAAATTTTCTTTTTGAATTTACATTTATTGGGAACTGGTATGTGTAAAACCTTAAATATAAACTCTGATGTTCATTGTGGGGCTTATTGACTATATGGTATAATTGTATCCTTTTGGGGAAAGGGAGAAGGGAAGCTCTTTATAGCAGGTCCTAATTAAAATATAATTTCATTTTTATCTTTAGCTAGATGAGAGCAAGGTTTTGTTCCTTTTGAGGGTGAGTCAATATAGGATGCTTTACCACCAAACATTCACTGTCATCAAGGTGCTTTAGAAAATTAAGAACAACTCAAATGATTGTACTTTACTATACAGGTTATCATGACCTTCCTAAGAAGCAGAAAACTGATTTATGTTTGTAAAGCGAGAAGTGATTAAAAAATACTCTAATGAAAACACATCTTTTACCTAAAAAACTGAAGTACAGCCATATATTCTGTTCTTTAATTTATGAAAAACTTTAAAATATCCTCATGTTAGGCTTTATTGTACAATTGTCAGCTTTGGTTTGACTTTCTGTGGAGGGACACAGCAGTATTTAGTACAAGTTGTGGGTGCATTTTTTTGAACATGTGATATTTTAGAAAAATAAAATCTTGCGAAACTATTATATATCCAAATAGCTACAATATCTAAAGAAGCAAGACTGCTTTTAAATCACAACATACACAAAAGCAAGGCCTGTTGTAATGGTCAAGAGGAACTCTTATAAGCCTCTGAAACTAAAGGCATCTAAATATGTTACATTTGACAAGTTACAATCTTGCCTTCATATCATAATAACCAACTTTTTAACAGCAAAGATTTTCCATCTACAGCGTATACAAGGTACAGTTTCGCTCTCTGCTGAGATAGGTAACCAAACCTTTAAAATTGGTTCTGAAAAGACCCACTCTCTGAAATGCCTGCCCATAAGCTGTGCTTATTCCACCTGACATGCCTTTTTCAGAACATGACTTAAAGGTGAATATGCCCTTTTCCCCGCTGGCTCTCAGAAGCCGTAGCTTCCTTTAAGGGTGAGCTCAAGTGCCACTTCTGTGAAGCCGTCCCTGATTACTTCTCAGGCTCATTGTTTTCTCCTTCTTCAAACTTGAGCTTACTTATTTACATGACAAGTAGAATGTAATATAAGCCCCTTCAAAATAGGAAATATTTAGTTGTTTTTGTATCCCAGGACCCTGCAATGTGTCCTGTATATGACACAACTTAGTGTGTGTTGAATTGAACTGAATTGTTCTCCTAATGACTCCTCCCTTTATAATGCACAGTGTATTTTGATGCTTCAGAACTCCTTACTTTATCAGGCTTTCAGATTGTTTTCTTTATTATTATTATATGATATTTTATTCCACATTTCCATATCCAGTGATATTCCTTTAATATATTAATTCCAAATTGATCAGATTATTGCTGATTATATTTCATTCTTTAAGAAGAGTAGGTAATCTGAAAGCTAAGGCAACAGGAAAGGAAGTGATTTCTCTTGATTGCTTCTCTTACTGGTGTGACTATGGTTATTATTGTCTGTATTTTCCATTTACTATAGCTTTGAAGTACCTTTTGAGATTCTTTTTTTTTAAGCTTTGACTTTACTTTAAAAATATGAAACATAACTTTAAAATGTGAAACATACATGAGCTTGATTCCTTCCTATAAATAAAGTCCAGTCTTAGTCCAAAAATGTCTTCAGACTTCATTCCTACACCCTGCCTTCTCAGGGCTCCCCTCAAGGTTAGCTGGCTGCAACATCTTGTTTGGAATCCTGGTTCCAAGCTTACTATGTATCCAACTTCCATGCTGGCCATCTAGTGAAGGGGACATATTAGATTTAGGGGAACAGGGTGCATCCATGTTAGGTCATCTGAGCATGCTCCAAAGTTCCCATTGCACATTTCCCCTATTTCAAAGTTGGTGTCCCTAGCAAATACACATTAAGGCATTTTTTAGTTGATGCAGTCCTTGACCGAAATTAAGAACAGTCCCCTCGTGGTCTCTGGGAAAGCATCAGCAATATCCATTCACTTGCTTCCCCATTGTCATATACTTCAGTTTCAAAATAGTCAATGTTGTATGATCGTTTAATCAATCTCACATGTGCAAATAGAAACCATAATTATTCCCCCACATGCAGTTTTGCACATTCTTATAACAAGGAATATTTTACAAAGTTTATATAGCCTTAGATGTGCAAGGCCTTTCTTAACCTACAAGTGAAAGAGCAAAAACAAGCAAAGAAAACTGATTTCCCATCTTGTGGGGAAATCTGGTTCACATTGAGCTTTCCAAATTACTTGGAGCGTTACCCCTAGGGATTTGGGACCTACAGTCAACTAGGGTTTACCTCTTTCTCAGATGAGAAAATTGTTCTAGGTGGAAACTCTTCTATGATTCAATGTGTAATGTCATTCAACTGGAGTCTAGACAAAATAAAATGTACTTTTATATACAGAGTATGCCCAAATTCTCTAGGGGTCCCTCTGTACCCATAGAGGTCCAGGCAATTTCTTTTGGGTCCTAGTTCCAAAGGGTGCCCTAAATTCCTTCCTTGTCTCCCCTCTTCCCTCTATGGATCCATACCACTACTAGGATAAGCAAAACGGAATCGCAAAATCATCAATCAGGACAAGAAGACAAGTAGGTACAGTTAGAGAGGTAGCAAAGAAAGTGAGCTGCTTATGGATTTTAGACAGAGGTAACTCATTCTAAGAGGTTGTAGGGCACTTTGCTTTCATAAAAGGCAAGTAGTCTAGATTGGTTTAAATGCCAAAGAACAATATGAACATTTCTACTAGACAGTAGCAACTTAGTGATGTTCAAATAACATTTAATATTCATACTTGCATACAGAACTCAGTAATACAGAATGTATCAGCATATCAATATTTATATAAAGAATTCAATAATACGAAAAGTATCAGTACTTAAACAGTCAACACATGAAAAGTTTGCAAAATCACACCAATGCAACTCACTTGTGGTGTTCCCTCAAGTGTAACAGTGGCTTACCAGCATCCCACTTCCATTAACCACTAGCTTTTAAGGATTAAGGATTTAAAGGATTAGCTTTTAAAAAGAAATATTTACTTCCAAGGTACAAATACACAAACAGTTTAGCTTGTATAGAATGCAGTCCCAGTTCTAAATCCAAAACCCACCTTGGGCTCAGGTCCCAGGACACCCTGGCTTCTCAGGGCTTTCCTGCTGGGCTGGCTGGCTGCAACATTCTACCTAGAATCCTGGCTGGAAGGTTACCATAGTTCCAAGTCTCTTGTAAGGTTGGGATCACCACTGGCATCTGAAATTGAGAAAGACAAAAAAAAAAAAAAATGAAACGCAACAGTTAAAACACCCAGAGCCATGGATGGGGAAGAGGGAAGGTGCCTTCTCTCTCCTTCTCTCCTCCAACTCCGATCCTTCCCTGGTTCATTTCACAGTTCCCATGTGGTGGCTGAACTGAAATCTTCACTCTCTGGACACAGCAGGAAAGAGCCCTTTTGAGATTCTTAAATTACAGTTCTGCTAAAATGATGTGTTGACATCCAAGATAATCTTCACTAAACTCTTTTTTAAAATCTTTTTTAGTTCTGTTAATAAAAGGAAGACAATGCCCAAAATTGTTTACAACTTACTCTCTGACCGGGACTTAAGGAAAAAGCTCAAGGAACACGGACTCTCTGGTCAAGGAAACAAGCAGCAGCTTATTAGACGGCATCAAGAATTTGTGCACATGTACAATGCCCAGTGTGACTCTTTACATCCCAAGTCAGGTATGATTGCAAATACGTTGCTTTTAGATTGAAGTTGTGTTGGCCAGAGGTAGAGAAACACAACTTAAGTCTATCAAGTTCCCAACAGATTTTTCAAAATAGTTTGTTTACTGCCCTTCGTTTCCTCAAGATCAGTTGATTGATTTGGCTGTATATTAAAAGGTTGCTCAAATGCCATGTTGGGATTGAGATGACAGTCCAAAATAGAGCAACTTCACTTTCAGTCTTTCTTTACTTTTTCATTCTCTTTATCATGCCTTTCATTCATTGCCTGCTTGTCCTGGAGCCCAAGGGAAAAGTTTGTCAAAATGATAGATCCAAGTAAAATACAAAAATAGATTTAAAATAGGTTTAGGCCAAAATTGAGAGCTGTTAAAAATTCAGATTTGTATTTCTAAACAGAGGATCAGTTAACTCATTAAAGCATGATTTGACAGAAAGTATCCCCTGTCTCTTTGAACTCAACATTGTAGAAAAGATGGACTAAATAAATCAGTCCATCTTTTAAGAGGTTAACCCGAATCCTATCCCAAACAGCCCAAATATAACATTTTAGTTACCATACAGATAAATTTTTTATGATAGACCAAAGAGATGTGATATAATTACAGTATAGCAGCGTTGTTGTTTTCTCATGTAATGATTTTTTTATGCATATATTGTGTGCATAATTATACATATGACATAACAGGTATACTTATTGTGCACTTTATTGTGGTTCTCTTCCAGAAAACTCACTAAAACCAACCATGAGGTTCTATTCATACTAATTAGTGTGAATAAGCCATCCCATGGAGTGGTAGCATTATTCAAATTTGCCCTGCATGTTTCCATTGGGCTAGAAGCAATGATCATATTTTACATAATGAGAACTTCAAACAGTCCTGTTTGGAATACATTGATCTCTTCCTGGGATTTATTCTTCATACTCTTCAGGATCTACTTTTTTTTTTAGGCAATTGGGGTTAAGTGACTTGCCCAGGGTCACACAGCTAGTAAGTGTCAAGTGTGAGGCTGGATTTGAACTCAGGACCTCCTGACTTCAGGGCCGGTGCTCTATCCACTGTGCCACCTCACTGCCTGAGGGTCTGCTTTTCTTTAGTTAAATAAGAAAACACTGAAATGGAATCTGTACGCATTTATTTCCGCTTGTAATTATCCACAAAGTATAATGTGGGGCTTCCTTTATATGTAGGCTTGATTGCTGAGATTATTCTTGTTTTTTGTATCTCTTCATTGACACAGTAGTCAAAGAATTCGGGGACAATTGCCAACCAATGGATAAGATTCTTGACAAAGAATTAGAAACTATTTTCAATATTACTTAAAACTATCTTGAACTTAAAACTATCTATAGATTGTAGTTATAATATAGCTTGAAGACTATAATATCTTTAAAAATTGTTCTGTTTGAAAACTTCTCTTACAAAACTGTGAAAAATATGTTGAGATAGATATATGTCCTACATGTAGAAAAGAAGTAGAGTTTAGAGTAAAGATTTCTTCCCTATAAACTTTGACCTTCTAAATTTGCTGAAGTTTAATAACAAATCACTTTTAGCTCTGTTTTGAGCTTTCAAACTTGACATTGAATGAGAGTAAACCATGTCTTTGATGCTTCCCAACTTGAAGTCCTAGAATTTATTTTTTCAGAGTTTCTGAAGTGAGGGAGGCAGTGAGCTGGACCACTGATAATTTTGATTTGTCTCATGTTACTATCCACTTCACAAAAAAACTTGACTGACTGTCCTCTGCCAATAGAATGCAGTGCAGACTCCTTACCTAGGTGCTCATTTTCCTTTACAGTCTGTTCCCAACATATCTTTCCGGACCTCATCTTCAATTATTTCCTGTCATGTATTTTCTATTCTAACCAAACTGGTCTACTTACTCTCCCAAATATTTCTTGTGTATTTCTGTCTACATTTTTCCTCATGATATTATTATATCTGATATTAACTGTTTTGATGATCTTAGTTTAGTTCTCAGAGATTGTCTGTTCATCTTCTAAGAATCCATAAATAGTACAATAGGAAGACTTTTAGGAGAGGTTAGGAATATGACTTTTCAATTTTTAGGTTATATATGTTAACAGAATCACTGGTGTCACAACTTTATGTATTTATTTTAACAGTTGCTGAAATAGTTAAAGAAGTTGAAAATATGGAGAAGACTCGAGTACATCTTGAATCAAATAAACTGATTGAAAATGTAAGTTTATAGTGTCTGTTTCAGTAACTTTCAGGAAGGAAGTCTAAAATTGTTACTAAAACAATAAAAACCTTAATGAAATCTTTTCAATACAAAACATACTGAAACACATTTCAGCATAATGTATTGTGTTCTTATATTGTGGATATTAGCTTGGGATGGAGTCCAAAGCAGGGCCACTTATTAAGTTTTGTTTATAGCGTATCATCAATGTCAAATATGGTAGAAAGAGCACTAGATTGGGAGTTAGAAGCCATGGAGTCTGGTCTTGGCTATGGCATCAGCCAGTTAATCATGTTATTTTGGTTAGATAGTCTGGGCCTCAGTTTCCCCATCTGTAAGATGGATTTGGACCAGTGAATTTCTCGGGTTTCATTTAGCTCTAAAACTCTTAAGATTTTATGACCTTTAAAAAGGCAATGTGTTAAAGAAGAAGGAGCACCATCTTTGAAATCAGAATCTTGTTTTGAGGCCCTGGCTCTGCCATTTTCTAGTCCTGTGACCTTGAGCAAGTCACTCAACCTCTTAGTTTCATCATTTGTAAAAGGAGGATAATAACACCTCTAGGGTCCAACTTACAGGATTGTTGTGAGGATCAAGTGAGATAATACATGTAAAGGACTTTGTAAACCTTAAAACACCGTGTAAAAGTAACTGCTATTTTTTTTTATCAGAGGAAATGAGTATTAAAAATCAATTTGAATTTTGTGTTCCAGTGAGATTATAAGGAAAGCTGAGACATAACATTTCTCGCTATTGTCTATATCTAGCTTATTTGAAGGAAAAGGAACATTGAAAAAAATCACTAACAGATGGCCTCATCACCTAGGTCTGCTTTTTGCTTGCAAATCATACTTCAGGGCAAGTTTTCATGTCTTCCCAAATAGACTTTATTTTTTAGACTGTTAATGATAAGAAAAGCTGTTGCTGTAGGTGAGTAGTTGGCTGGAAATGAAATAGTCAGTTTCATTTTTTTTAAAAACCTGTTTACTGTAGAGGCAGCTAGAGATGCCATAGGACATTTGCCATAGTCCCATAGACTCTGGGCCTAGAGTCAGGAAGACCTGAGTTCAAATGTGGCCTCAAACACTTACTAGCTCTGTGACCCTGGGACAAGTCACTTAACCTCTCTCTGCCCCAGCTTCTTGTTCTGTGTAAAAAGGGGATGATAATACTAACACGTCTACCTTTCATAGTTTTTGTGAAGAGAAAAATGAGATAATATTTGTAAAGAGCTTAACATAGTGCCTGGAACATAGGTTCTAATTCTTCTTTACAACATGATTAATGTGAAAATATTTACTAGGAATGTGAAAAAAAAAAGAAAAATAAAGTTTACTAACCTTCTAGGTGTAAATGTTTCTTAAGTGTCTGTGGATATGGAACAGAAAAGTACTATTTCACTGAACAGAAAGTTTGGTATATTTAAGAATATTCATTTGTGAAGAATGCTATAAGAGAATCATATCCTAAATAAAATCCATTAGTAGTGTGATCTTTAGTAATAAAAAAGAGCCTTCTGACTGTATGGCACTGTGTTTTGGTCACTAAAACTTTATTTTGATGGAATTAGTTTTCCTAAATCTGAGTGTGGTAGAAAAAATTTGTTACTTTGTTGTTGTTTTAAACCATTGCATTTGAGATTTTTTAATGCATCACACTCATTTTGGTTTTCAGTCATTCTCTTTGCCTTTGCTAAGTTTTATTTAATGGTTTCAGGTCATGGTATTTACAAAGAACCAGACAGAAAAAGAAATAGATGATATTCACAGTAAATATCGTAAGTAATGTAATTCTATTTTTTTACAATATGAACTTGGGTTACTTATTTTTTGGTGTAATTTTCATTGTTCATTTTAGCAGAATTTCAAAACTAGTGTTTAATTATAGATCTTCAACTTTAAAAAGTGATGTTATATAGCTTTTTGTAAATCTTAGTCTTAGGCTGAAGTGGATTTGATTTATTTAAAGTATTTACTTAATTAAAGTGATCCTGCTTCTCTTGTGGGTCTCTTTGACTTTCTGTTCTATTAATAATGGTAGTATTTTCCACTTTGTTCTTTTCCCAAAGTACTTTGTGAATAATGGTGTTCAAAGAATCTCTGTGAGAGAGAGAATTGGATTGTTCTCACTTTGTTAAATAGTAAGAGATGAGATGTCAAGAGACTTACATACAACATGAACCTGAGCTAGTGTATATCACAATATAATGAATGTTTATCAGGGATAAGGCACTGAACTGCCTGTTGGGAATACTGAGCCAAAAATGAAAGAAGCTTATATTCTCCCTGAGGGGTGAAGTATGAGTGGGGGATAGAAAAAGCACATAGATAAGTAAATACAAGTAGGTGCAAAGTAAGTACAAAGGGATTTCAGGAGGAAGACATCACCAGGGCAATAGGGGTAGGGATCAGGGGAAGGAAGAGAATGTAGAGATTTCCAAGAGGTGGCGGTTAGGAGGAAATGCCTTTTAGGCCTGTAAGGAGATAGCATCTGCCAAGACATGGAGGCAGGAAATAGAATGCTGTATATGAGATTAGTTATTATGCCATTTTGATCAGAACAGAGAACACCTGACAGCTTTCAATTTTCATCCTTAGGCCATTCAATGACACTGTTTCTTAGACTAATTTCATAGCTACTATATATAGCTCTCATATATATTTAAAAAACATTTGTATAATTACCAGGCTCATTTTTATTTTAGTTTTTTAACTTGAGAATTTCTTTTTCCTTAATGATCTTTGCTGGTATGTAGCCCTACCAGGGCTACCTCCTCAGCTGTTCTGTTACAGATAGCCTATCACATTTTATTTTGTTTTAGCTTCACTTTAACTTCAAATTTCTTTCTTCTAACTTGTAACTCATTTTTATATTGCCTGCTTGCTGAAAGATATTTTGATTTATTTATTTTGTTTTCTAGTTCTTGAAATTCAGTAGGGACAAATAGTAAAAAGGTCTCTTTGAGAGAGAAAACAAGATATGAAAATACAAAATACTAGGGGTAGGATGGGGTGGAGTGGGGGGTGGTGTCGGGGTAGTTATTTACCTTGGCTAAATACAGCAGAAAAGAGTTTCAGTGAATCACAGATTGAACAAGAGTGAGCAGTGTTGCACTGTTGCTAAGAAGCTGAGTATAATGTATAATCCTGGGGTGCCTAAAAGCTTTTATTAACCATAAAATAATCTAGACATTTACTAGAATACTGTGTCCTATCTTCTTCTTTCCTTGCTTATAAGAAATGTGGAGGCTTTGATCAATGGGTTAGAAAATAATGTTTAGGGGTAGCTAGGTGGTGCAGTGGATAGAGCACCGGCCCTGAAGTCAGCAGGACCTGAGTTCAAATGCGGCCTCAGATACATAACACTTACTAACTGTGTGACCCTGGGCAAGTCACTTAATCCCATTGCCTAGCGTAAAAAAAAAAAAAAAAAAGTTTGTCAGAAATTTAAAAGAACTAGGATTTTTTTTTTAATCTAAGGAACAGATGTTGTAGAACTAACTAAAATAACTGCTAATAATTTTTTTTAGAGAATAATAACTCAGTTTCAGCAAGGGAATTTACATGTTGCTGTGCTGCTATGCCTTGGAGTCTAGTTAGGTTCTAAGGCAGCTCTGGACTTAGGAAGTAAATCAGTTTCTGCCCCATATTTGGAGGGACCTTTGTAAAGAGAAATGTGGACTCCTTGCTATATTTTTGAGGAAGCCAGATTTAATCCCTTCTCCAAAGTTGGTCAGCGTGTGTTCTTTCTCAGGAGACATTACTCTTAGTTATCACTTAGAAATTTATAGTCTTTTAGTGAATGACTTCATCAGGGGGTTGACTTAAAAAAATCTAACATGCTCATCTGCATTCTTTTTTTTTTCTTTTTGCTCACTTACATTCTGCATGGCCTATAATCTCGGTCCTTATGACTTGTGCCAGCAATGATGAGAAACACAGATTTGGATTGTGAGTTGGCTTTATGTTAGAACAAAGGAAAGAGAATAGATTTGACTTTTTACCTTCTATTCTTTTGGCTAACTTTGGGGAGTTCTGAGAGAAATCTGAACTCAACCCAATTAATGTTATCTTTAAATCTTTTCCATATCAATGTCATTTCAAAAAATCAAGTCATTTTAGAATTATAAAGAATGTTTTGTCACTGATAGGGAATTGATTTAGAGAAAGGCTCCTTCTTGTCTCTAGGATAAAATACAGATTCTTATGCTTTACTTGTAAAGCCCTTCACAATCTTAGGAACAGCCAAGAATGTAAAGGATAAATTGTATATTTTATAAGCCATAGAAAACTATAGAATCTGTGATTTAAATTGGTAGAAGGAAATTTCCTACATTGATCTACTATGCATTAGAAGGTAAAGCCTAGGAAGTTGCCTAAGGTACATGAAGAGTAAATGGTTTGTCCGTGTCACACAGCTAATAAGTGTCAGAGAATTCAAACCCAAGTCTTGACTCCAAACTCAGCACTCTGTTCACTATTTCATACTGTTTTGGCCAGATAATTCCTTGTCAAATCAGCATTATAAAATGTGATTAGAGAGAAATTAATTCCTTAATCTATTTTATTAATGCCTTTTGTCTTTGTATCACCATCATTTTTGGGAATGGTGAGGGTATAGAATGATGTAGAATAGATGAAGGAACTCAGGAGGGACAGTTTCAATTTTCAGTAAAGTATTTTCATCCACTGACAGAGGAGAACCAAAGGTTTAGCAGTACAGGCTCATCTAGACTACCACCTTTGCTTTTTAGTTGGGTACATGGAGGTTCAGTGGCTTCCCAAAGGTCACACTATTAGTGAGCACTGTGCTTAGGAAAGTAGGGTGCCTTGGCTTCTGAGGTGTTTCTAAGAGGTGGGGTTGTTTGTTGGAAAGAGCTGGATTTTGAGGCAAGGGATCTAGCTTTAAATCTCCACCCTATCATTCTCTATGTGACCTTTGGCACATCAGTTAACCTTTCTGGGTCTCAATTTCTTAATTTGTGGATGAGATGATCTCTAAGGTTTCTTCCCAATCTAGATCTAAGAGTCTCTGAAATTCTCTTCAGCTTGACTCTTCGTGCCCCACACTTCAGAGACATTCTAGTCTTTTGGAACTCTTATCTCCTGTTCACTTCTAATTCAAAGCCTATGCTTTGTAGAAATAAGAAGAGAGAAAGGAAAGGAAGAAATAATGGATAATGGGTAGATCCTTCAAAATGCCATTGCCCAGATGTTCTCCATCCCCTGAGAATTTATTGGAAGAGATTCTTAAGTCACTGACCAAATTATCCTATTAGCCTGCTATGGTTTGAAGCAGGCAAGTACAGTAGAGAAAGAACATTGGTCTTGGAGTTCGTAGGCCTGGGTTCAAATGCCGGCTTTAACACTTAACAACTTTGTGTCCAAGGGGAATTCATTTTACCTCTCTACACCTTGACTTAACTATTTGTCAAGTGGGCAAAATAATGGTTGTACTTTCTAGCTTAGAGAGATAGTGGAGCATGGTGGATAGAGCACTGGACTTCAGTTCATGGAAACTGGGTGCCATTGTTGCCTCTGACACTTTCAAGCCAGACACTAGAGCCTGGACCAGTAGCCCTTTCAGCTCACTGAGCCTCAGCCAACTCAGACACCAAGATGTTTTTACTAAGTTGTAGGTGGTTGCTATTTGTGGTGGTGGAGGTAATTTCTAGTTACAATCACAGATCATGACTACTGACAGCCCAAATTATGGGGTCATTGTGAGAAAAGTGCCTTGCAGACCATAATGTACTATAAAGATGTATTGTTAATATAATAAATATACTTTTGGATACATAATGTGTGAATAGTGTGTAGTTGATTTTTTTTTTAACTTTTTGCTTTAAGAAGATCTTTATCTTTCAGGTAAAGAACATCAGAATGAATTTAAACTTCTAGTGGATGAAATAAAACACCGGTGCAAGAAAACTGGTGTACTACTGACCAAACAAATAAAGCAGGAGGTAGAGGAATCCATGGAAGAGTTATTGCCAGTAACCATTGGTAAGAAACTGTTAAAGAACAAAAACAAGCAGAAATGAGTACTACTTTACCATTCATATGTAGCATAAAAAAGCTTAATTTGTAGTACTTGTGATTTATTGCTAAAGGTACTAGTATAGCTTGCATTGGAAATAAATTCTTTTGTTCTTATGATAAAATAATAATGTAGTTATTGTGGGGATGGAATTTATTGCTGAAAAATCTCAAACTTCTAATATTTAATATGCTGACAAGAAACACATTCTTTGATTTTTTAAAATTTACTCATTTTATAGTTTCAGATTAATATCTTCACTCAATTATCATGGCTTTGGCTAACGAACCAGACTAGATGATAAAATCATTTTATCCAAGAGTATTAAATTTGGAGAATACTGATTAATAGGACCTTTGTTCAAATCTTGTCTCTGTCAATACCTCTAGGATCATGGTTAAGGCACTTAACTTCTCTCCACACAAATGTCCTTATTTCTAAAATGAAGGGATTGGATCCCAGCCTCTGAGGTCCCTTCCAGATTTAAGACAGTATGAATTATAATAATGGAGTTCTGTGACCACAAGTTAAAGATGTTTACTTTCTGTGCATGTTCGTTAAGTTTCTTTGTAGTCCAGAACTGGGCTTAGGAATTAGGAGTGTGTAAAACTATGTATGACGTGATTTAAGTACAGGCACAAAACTTTTAGTTCCTGTAAGTCTTTGACTATTCTTTTGTCCCCAGGAAGTTTATATGAAAGTTCATTTAAGGGTCAGAAGGCTTCATCGTTGAAGTACTCAAATTCTCTTATACCATAATGTTTGAAGTTGAATTTCTCTGTGTTTGCCTGGAATAAGTCTGTCAGTTCATTTACTTACCTGTCTAATTGCCTTCTGAAATTCAAGCTTATTTGTAGATTTTCCATTGCCTTTATGAAAAACAAAACAAAACAAAACAAAACCCAAAAACAAATCATCTGGATTGTCACTCTTTTAAATGCTGGACTTAGAGTCAGGAAGACTGGAGTTCTAGTATGGCCTCAGACACTAGTAGCTGTAAGACCCAGGGCAAATCACTTAACCTCTGCCTTAATTTATTTATCTGTAAAAGGGAGATAATAATAGCACCTACCTCCCAGAGTTGTAATGGAGGTAAAATGAATATTGTGAAGTGCTTTATAAACCTTAAAGCACTAAATGCATATTATTAATAGCTGTTATTTTATTTCATGAAACATCAGGCTGGATAAGACCTTAGAAATCATCTAGTCTGTTACCATTATTTTACAGAGCAAGGAACTGAGGCTGAGACAGCTAAAATGACTTAATCCAGAACACAAAACTAAGAACTGTTACAACCAGAACTAACTCTTGGCATCCTGCCTCCTGGTTAATTGCTTTGGTCATTACTCCATGCTGCTTCCCACTTTGTCGTCTTTTTACAGGGTGAATGCTGCCTTGTGCTTCACTTGGTGCTGGCTATACCTGATATGTTTCTCTTTTAGACTAGAAGCACTGGGAGAAGGGGCTTTATTCATTGGCTTCACCACTTGGTCCCTTTACCAATATACATTAAGGGACTCAGGCAATTTTATATTGGTAGAAATGGTTCAGAGCTGTTGAGGCATTATCAGTTAATGCTTTTCTTAGTTGAAATTATAGGTTTTTTGGTGTTTGATGTTCTCCTAGTGTGATAAACGTGCATTATTTCTAAAAAGCCTTGAGTTTGTGGGCTCTGGCTAGAGTTTTTAGGAGTGCTTTTTTTGCCAGATCAATAATCACTTTCTTCCATAATCTTTCCCAGCTCAACACATCCTTGAAAATCTATGTCATGGTGCTCTTTATTAAAATTTGTGAAAACTTTTTTTTTTTGTGATGAAAATTTCATTGAAGATGAGCTCCATGCCATATTGACACATATAGAAACTTCAAAAAGCAATATGCAAACTTGTATGTGTAGTATTTAAACTTTCTGTAATTAGCTGACAAGAAATCTCATGATGAGATGGCACCTTAGTTGCCGCTTTGTTTAAATTCAGGATCTTTTAACCAACTTCATTGGAGGAATTGTAGCTGTTGGAGATACAGGTTATCGTTAAACCTCTAGGCGTATCACTATTTGTTTCTTTCTTTTCCATTCTAGCTTTTTAGCTAATGCCAGCCTTGATTTTTGCCTGGTTTTTATTAAGTTTTTCTTTTGGATCATATTGACATCTTCTTTCCTTTTGAGGAAGCTTCTTTGCTAAATACTTTGCAAAGGGAATTAGGGCCAATTTTTTTTTACCCTTTTTGAGTGGAAGAATCCTCCAAAGCTTCTATTTCTGGAGTGTTCAGTCTCTCTAATTGAGAGTATATTTGAGTTGTTTACTTCTAAGATTACCAGCTGAATTGAATTCTGAGTTATATTCCTAGAGCCTCCAAGAGATATAAAGAAGAATCTTACCTGGATACTTTTCTTTATTCATGTTTTCAGTTTCCTTCCACACTATTAACTGTTAATATTGTGACTGCATCTACTGTTTATGAGATCTAGAAAACTTGGGATGTGGCAAAGGTCATGGGAAGTTTATGTATAGTCCAGGAGTATGGGTGTGGCATACTGTTAGTCAAATTTTCATCAATGACAGCTACCTTGGTTCTTTAGCTAAGGAGCTTGAATCCCTGCCCATTTGATGTATTTTATTAATTAAATTTTTTCTCTTGTCTATGGAATGTATTTTTAAAAAAGCAGTCCTCAAAATATGTAAGAATTCCTTAGGAATGTTATTATTCCAGAAACTTCATTGGAAGAATAAGATCTTTTTGATGGATTATAATTCATTTTTTGGTGAGTCATCTTATACTAAGAATCAGGCATTATAAATGACAGCACTATAGAACCTTCTTTTTTTCTACATAGTAAACAAAGAGAAGATTGGAGTGGAAGTGAAAAAAATGACATCTAGTTTAAAAGGACCAGGAGGCCCCTGAAACATGAGAGAGGCAGTGTGTGGCATGATGGGAAAAAGTGTCAGGGGTAGCCTGGGTTCAAATTCTCCCTCTTACACTTAACTATGGGGAAATCCTATAAGCTTTCAGGGCAGATGTAGCAGAGCATACCTTGTAACACCTTCTTCCAAGGCTTCTTATATGGTTCCACTGGAGGTCTATCTGAGGTGAGGTCTGGAAAACACTTTCCACACTTTAAGGTTTTTATATTAAATGTTGTCAGTTAGAATATGTAAATATAAAGTTAAGGTTGACATAACCTCACCTGTTAAGCCCAGCTACCTTTATCATCCGAGAACACATCTCAATGGGTCAATCAAAGACTTTAGGCTAAATGCAAAGTATCCTTGAAAATCATTGGAGGAATTGCCCAGGAAGTCTATTCTGACTGCGTGAGGGATGTAGTAATGCCCGATGGCACTTGTAAGGAGTGTGCTCTTTCAGTCCAATTGATTTTTGACTGTTTGGAAACAAAGTGTTAGGGGTAGATACAAGGGACACCTGACTTGGAAAGAAGGACAGCTGTCAAAAGGAAAGAGAGTAGAATTGAGCTGTGACGGGGCTGGAGAGACTGAGAAGGGTCTCAGGCTCTGTATTCATGTCACAGCAGAAGAGCTGACTTGATGCTGCCTGTTTTCTATACCTGTTTAGGGCCTGGTCGCCATTCTGGAAAAAGATTTACTTATTGCCAATGTCCCCTCCTGGTTCCTGGCAGTCAGTGGACACTGGAATATATTTTACTGCTTCTTTACCCAGATATTTCTGATAACCTGTGTTTGGCTTCAGTCATAAAGAGGTTGGTTGTTAGAGAGAAACATAAATGTAAATTAAGTCACAGAGCCAAATATCTGCCTAAATATCAATAATTTTCCTACCTGGAGGCTCAAGCAATTGTGATTGTAACCTTCACTTTTTGTTTAATATAAACTCCGTAAAGCAGCAGAGGAGAGAACCATGTGAACTCAAAGGGCCATTATATTGCCTCTAAGCTTAAAAGGAGCTAATTGTTTTTTCAGGGTATTACATTAAGGAAGAGTTTAATTTTTCTTTTTAAAAAAATGTAGCATTTCTTCATGGTTTTTAACTTTTCTTTGTAGGAGGAGAGGATAGTAAACCAGTCCTCACAGATCTAAGCTCAGCTGCAGTCCAGTTACCCCAATCAAAGGTGGAATCCCAGATAGAGATGGAACAGGATGCAATAGAGGACTCTTCTGATTTATCCAAAGTTCAGGAAACTCCTCTGTTCATCACATCAGATTCAGGAAGCAGGTAATTGTAATACAAGGATTTTCTTGTAAATTTTCTATCTTTATTTCTATTCACGGGATAGCTGGTTAGGAAAGAGTTTGAGAAATAACTTTGAGATAAAATCTAGGTGTCTGCTATTAGTAGTTCCTCAATGACTTATTATTTTTGATAACTTCTAGTACCTTTCATTTTCATGTGTGACATTTATTTACTATTAAGGCAGAAATTGAGTGGTTGCAATCAGTGATTACAGAGGGTGACCCTGGTTTCCCCCCAACTCCTTACTGAGAACCACACAGACCTTTTGTATATTTCCTGAGACTAGAAGAAGGCCAGGGGAGAAAGGTTTAGGGAGTGGTGATGACCACTATTTGAATCAAGGAGGGTTTGTGAGGAAGTAAAAACTTATGTTATACAGAGGTTTATGTTGTATTTTGATAGATCCATTATTTTATCATGTGGGTGGTCTCTTCAGCAAATAGTCAGTCAACAAGCATTTAGAGAAGGCCTGCACAACCTGTGGCCCATGGGCCGCTTTTGGCCCTTGGGCTGCTTGCAAATGCCAAAGGATTTTGGGTGCTCTGTGAAAAATGTTATTTTCTTGTGTGATTATTCTACCAGAAGACCATTTGGACTGTCCTTATGTGTCTGATAGTGAACAGCTTTGATAATTTTCCATTCAGACATCTCCTTGATAATGTTTTCATGCCGTTTCTTTTTTTAAAAAAAAATTTTTTTATTAATTTATTTTGATTTATCAATCATCACTTCCATATGCTTTTGAGTTTAAAATTTTTCTCCCCCTTCCTCCCCACCACCCTCCCCAAGACGGTGCACAATGTGATATAGGCTATATATTTACATTCATATTAAACATATTTTTACATTAGTGATGTTGTAAGTAGAAATTAAAACCAATAGGAGGAACGATCAGAAAGAGGAAACAAAACTCAACAGAAGAGAAAAAAATTAATAATGCGGCTTCCATAGTTCTTTCTTTGGGTGTCGATAGCATTTTCCATCACATGGCCTCTGGAGATGTCTTAGATCCTTGTATTGCCAGGAAGGGTTAAGTTTATCAATATTAGTCATCACATAACGTGGCTGTTATTGTGTACTATTTCTTTCTTTTAAAAAAATGATTAAAAAAATTTTAAAAACCATTTTTACTTTTTCTCCAATTACATGTCAAAACAATTTTTTAACATTTGTTGGGTTTTTTTTAAGTTTTGAGTTCCAAATTCTATTCCTCCCCTTGCCATTCCCTGAGACAGTAAGCAGATATAAGTTATACATGTGCACTCATGTAAAACATTTCTGTATTAGTCATTTTATACAAGAATTCTCAAATAAAAGAAAAAGAATGAAAGAGAGAAAGTGAAAAATAGCATGGTTCTCATGCTGTTTCTTTCACACAGGTCATCACTGGTAACATATTAGTGCCTACTTATCTCTTTGTAATTTTGATTCTTTACCAATATTAGTATTCCATGTTTCTCAGCCACATATCATTATTAGAAGGGAATATATAGTATAAAGATAGACTTTTGTGGAAAGGAGCTGATGAGACCCATGACAGTTCTGCACAATTTCCCAAATGAAATCTAGCCTAATGTCTTACTTGCTAATTAATTCTCTGACTTGCTTGTTGTTCATCTGTAGTGCCTAACTAGGATTGATATCAATTGGACTACTCATCTAACTATATGTCATTTTCTTGACAATCTGTGTATACATTTGACTTATTTTTTCACTGTAGATGGCTAAGCCAGTGTCTTTCACATTCTTATGGGTTTCATTGAAAAGGATTTGTAATGCTCCAAGACTTAGTTTACTGAGTACAATTGTCAGCCTGTTAATGGGAATATTTAGAGAGTCTCACCATCAGTAGGGATTCTTTTTATTTGGACTCTACATAAGAAATCTCTGATGCTGGCAAACACCTTAAATGAGTATGGGTGTCCCTTTTTTATACCTTGCTAATAATCACTAGATTGTTGACCAAAGTTACCTCTGTATTTTTATATATTGCATCCTTTTATAATTTCTATTCCTACAGGATTTCTGTCTGAGGAGAACCTTCAAGGACACATTTCATTTCACCAAACCATTAAAAAATCAGTAAATAGAATGGCATCTTATAGTCTATAAGATTCTTAATTGTATGATCAAAGATGTGTCTGCTGTAGAAAACTATGTGCAAAAATTCTGCTTGTTCCCTCCTCACGGTTTTGCTGGAGATCCTATCAATGCGTTTCATTCTTTTAGAGTTTTTTTTTTTTTTTTAATAAAGATGAGAAAATAGGGATATGGGTTGGTAGGTGCTGGTGTATTGTTGGTAGAATTCTTTTTTTGGTAGAAAGCATTCTCCATGGTCTTTTCCATTCTTTGGGAATCTTTCCCTATTTAAAATACCTTGAAAATCTTTCTTTGTGTTTTACCTTTAAAATTGTATTGCCCCCTGGGTGGATTTCATCTCTTTGGTCAGTTCCTCATGCAGACTACAGATGCTACAAAGCAGAAGTCATTAAGAAGTCAGATGTGTAAAGCCAAAAGGAAGTGTTTTGAGGAAAGTGAGGAAAATTGAAGATGAGGCAGAAACTGGAATTTTCATGGGAACCATATAGTCCCTATTTAAAATAGATAAAATTAATTGTAATTGTAACAGATGCCTTAGAATAATAAACCATGCATCAAGTTGAGAAAAAATATTTTTAGTTTAGGGGTGTATGTCCAGTAGCTTGCTACTTTCTCAAGGCTCCTGACATACTCCGGATGAAAGACTCATAAAAAAAATCAAATTTTAGGAAGGAAAATCATGGGGAGCATTACCGAATTAGTCTAAAGTTCAGCAAACAAAAAGAATATTGTATCTTATATTTTCTGAGGGAATGTCACTTAGTAATACCAGATTTCTTGAAGAGTTTGGGGCCTCTGTGTAGTTGCTATAATTTTCACTTAGACTTCAATCTATTTCTCTAGCCCCTTCTTTTTTTAAAATTAAATTTTATTTTTTCAATTATCAAGCATTTATTTTTTCTCTCAAAAAACAAGCAAGGAAAAATAAAATGCTCATAAGAAGTATACATATTCAAGCAAAACAAATTCCCATATTGTCTATGTCCAAAAGTGTGCCACATTCTGCTTATTTAAAAAACACTTGCTTCATCTCTGCCAGAAGTTCTATTTGATTTTTTGTTTGAATTGTGTTTTTTTAAATTTCTTGAGCTTTTGCTTGTAGTTGTTTTGGAGTCTTCTGGGTTGGTGTCTTTTTTTAATCTTTATAATTAATTAATTTATTTTTAGTTTTCAACTTTCATTTCCATAAGATTTTGAGTTTTAAATTTTCTCCTCCTCCCACTTCCTCCCTACCAAGACAGTGTGCAATCTGATATAGGCTCTACTTATACATTCATATCAAGCATATTTTCCCATTTGTCATGATGTAAGGAACAATCAGAACTAATGGGAGGAACCATGAGAATGAAGCAATAAAACAAAACAACAAAGGAAAAGGAGAGCAGCTAGTATGCTTCTATCTGTATTCAGACTCCATAGTTCTTTCTCTGGATGTGGATAGCAATTTCTATCGTGAGTCTTTTGGAGTTGTCTTAGATCCTTGCAATGCTGTGAAGAGCCAAGTCTATCAAAGTCAGTCATTGCACAATGTGACTGTTACTGTTTATAGTGTTCTCCTGGTTATGCTCATTTCACTCTGAATCAGTTCATGTAAGTCTTTCCAGGTTTTTTTGAAGTGTGCCTGCTCATCATTTCTTATAGCACAGAAGTATTCCACTACATTCATATACCACAACTTGTTCAGCCATTGCCCAATTGATGGGCATCCCCTCAATTTCTAATTCTTGACCACCACAAAAAGAGCTACTGTAAATATTTTTGTACATGTGGGTCCTTTTCACATTTTTATGATCTTTGGGATACAGACCTAGAAGTGGTATTGCTGGGTCAAAGGGTAATTTTTATAGCTCTTTGGGGATAGTTTCAAATTGCTCTCCAAAATGGTTGGTTCGGTTCACAACTCCATCAATAATGCATTAGTGTTCCAATTTTCCCGCATCTTCTGCAGCATTTATTATTGTCTTGTTTTGTCACGTTAGCTAATCTGATAAGTGTGATGTGGTATCTCAGAGTTGTTTTAATTTGCATTTGTCTAATCAATAGTGATTTAAAACATTTTTTTGTATGATTATAGATAGCTTTAGTTTCTTCCTCTTACAAACTGCCTGTTCATATCCTTTGACTATTTGTCAGTTGGGGAATGACTTGTATTCTTATAAATTTGACACAGTTCCCTATATATTTTAGAAATGAGGCCTTTACCAGAGACACTGGTTGTAAAAATTATTTCCCAGCTTTCTACTACCCTTCTAATCTTGATTGCATTGACTTTCTTTGTGCACAAACTTTTTAATTTAATGTAATAAAAATTATCCATTTTGCATTTCATAATGTTTTCTATCTCTTGTTTGGTCATAAATTCTTCCCTTCTCCATAGATCTGAAAGGTAAACTATTCCTTGCTCTTCTAGTTTGCTTATAGTATCAGTCTTTATATCTAAATCTTGTACCCATTTTGACTGGTCTCTGCCCAGTTTCTGCCATACATTTTTCCAGTTTTCCCAGCAGTTTTTGCTAAATAGTAATTTCTTATCCCAGAAGCTGGAGTCTTTGGATTTATCAAATAGTAGATTAGTATAGTCATTGACTGTTGCGTCTTGTGTACCTAACCTTTTCCACTGATTCGCCACTGTTTCTTAGCCAGTACCAAGTAGTTTTGATGATTGCTGCTTTATAATGCAATTTAAGATGTGGTACAGGTAGGCCACCTTCCTTTGCATTTCTTTTCATTAGTTCCCTTGATATTTTGGACTTTTTGTTCTTCCAGATGAATTTTATTGTTTTTTCTAGTTTTATAAAATAATTTTTTGGTAGTTTGATTGGTATGGCATTGAATATGTAAATTAATTTAGGGAGAATTGTCATTTTTATTACGTTAGCTCG